ATATGCAGTTTGGACTTGGGGAATGGTGGCATACAAATACAATAAATAAATAATACTAATACAATCAAGAAAACGACCCCATATTGAAAGGAATAATTATTCAGACATCATATCAAAACACATTTCCTAGGCAGATGGTTTACATACATCATTTATCATGCATATAGTTTAGTGGCTCAACAGTTCATCATAGTTCTAGAAAAATAATATGCTGAATTCTTATTGAGTTGAATAGTCTATACGGCATTCCTTTCATGCCCATCAAAACTTATTGTACCTAGAAAGCTTGAGTGAATCTCTATTGTTTTTATTAATAGAAGTCTGATCCTTCTGGAATGTGTATCGAAAAGTACATGTTGTACTATTTTCATTCTCCAACAACTGTTGAGTGACATTATCAGTTGCAATTATTAAATGGTATACTGTGAAAACATTTATTACCACAAACTGTATGAATGCGTCCAAGTTCTTCAGATTACATATCTAAAAATATGGACCGCTAGAGCTGAAAGGTCAGATAATTGGGAATTACCATAAAAGGGAAAAATGGTAGAGAGAGCAAACCTAATTCTTTATCAGAACACTTCAATAGTTTAATATTTCTAAGTCCCTGTGAAAAAAATATATCTAGATTTAATCAAGACTTTTAAGTTTCACATTTAAAAAATAAATAAAGAAAGAAGAATAAACATTTTCCCTTACATATCAAACTCAACTATTATTCTGAATTTCCAAGCCTTTTCTGGCATATCTCCTGTCATTTATTTTCCTGATATGGAATTATCATGTTGGAAAAAGCTTGAGCAGAGTTTGTTTTTCTTTCCTGCCTATGTGCCAAATCAATACATAAACAAAAAACTGTAAGTAAAAAAAAAGGGAACAGAAAAAAAATCGCACTAGAGCAATGTTAGAGGAAAGTAAAGCTTGGGAATATAGAAATACATGTGTAATCTTAAAAAAAAATAGAACACTGTAGATTTCTAAATTCAATATTTATGTCTAGAAAAACAGCATCCAATTTATAGAAATTATTATAAATTATTCATACAAACAATTTGAGGGATCATACAAGGAATACCATGTCCATATCTTCTTCTCACACTTTTTAAGTATGTTCAAGAAAACATGGTGTATGTGTGCATTGAGTTTTGTGTAGATTCATCAGTATTCACTATGCTTTGATACTTGTTAATGTACATTATTGTTTAGAACTTGTGATATTATCAATATAGTTATGAACTTGTGACCAGTTCGTTTATGTGATGTATGTATTTGCAAAAGATTTCCCACTAATAGTCATGTTGGGAGTCTGCTCTTCGCTTTTATTTTTCATATTGTTGTTAGGCCACTTCTTTTATTGGTAAACATGTGCATGACTTAAATTTTAGACTACATAAGTTCTATTTGAACTGCATGGTCTTACATCTGCCAATTTGTCAAAATAATAAACAGAATCTGATAGCATCAGAGAATTAACCTACCATTTTTTGTAACCCCAATTCCTATGCAGTAGAAATAAAAGACAGGCTTATCTTCAAGAAACCTACTTTACTTTTATCCCACTATTTTAGTAGATCACTCTAAGACCAACACAATATTTTCCTACCCATCACAAAAATCTTCAGGTATTAAATCCAGGTAAATTCAATGTTCACTCCCATAATTAGTCAAAGTAATGCAACTTTAGAGCCTTCTTAAAAGTCACCAAAGATTCTTAGATCCCTTCCTGCAGCAGTCTCCAACCTTTTTGGCACCAGGGACCAGTTTTGTGGAAGTCAATTTTTCTACGGACTGGGGCGGGGGATGGTTTTGGTTTTGCTCACTTGCCTGCCACTCACTTCCAGCTAGGTGGCCTGATTCCTCACACGCCAAAGACTGGTACCAGTCCATGGCCCAGGGGTTGGGGACCCATCTTACTGTATTTTGGTAGAGAACACACAGAAGTTCAAACAGCAACTATAAGCAGCTTTCTCCCAAAGGTCTTAATGAGTGGTAGTGATCATGTAGAAGAAGGTACTCTCTGGGGTGATTTGGATGGAGGCTTCTAAAGGCTTTCAAGATAATTATTTATATTATGCCTCAAAGCAAACTGGCAACCAATCTAATAATTTTAATAGTGGAGTAATCAGTCTCTCTTAGTCACTCTAGAGATCAACCAGTTCAATTTTTCAATCTAGTATACTAGAATTATTACCAAACTCATTGTAAGAATTGTTGCGAGATGTACCTGAGATATACCTCAGCTGAACCTAATAGGAATATACTTTTTCAAGAATTCATACTATAGAGTGGCATTGTTGTATAAGAGCAGTGATGGTGGACAAACTTTATTTTGCTTCTATGTACATTTTTTCATAGATGAGCGCATCACATTTAAGCAGTATCATAAGGCATTCAGCTATTTTTAAAATGGTAGGGGGAGAAAATCAGAAAATTATATTGCTAATCACTTGAGATATCATTTATGCCATTAATACTTATTTAAATATCTTACATATAATTGATACAATTGCACTTAGTATATAGGACTACCAGATCAGGTCTGCAAAACTCCAGATGACCACTAGATAGCAATAAATAATGGGTTTTTAATCTGGATATTTGCCACCTAATTCTGCTAGTCCTATTATTACATTAGAGCAGGGGTGTCAAACTGCCGGCCCGCGGGCCAGATGCATCATGGCGAAACTGCGCCCACCCCATTGACGGTAATGGGAAAAAGTCACGATATGTTGCGACATGTCACGTGACGTGGCAAGTTTGACACCCCTGCATTAGAGGAATACCAGGATCAAAAACCAGAGATGAAAGTATCTCAGAGGCCCTCTAATCCAACATATTGCTCTGTACAGATCCACTATGCATTTCAGACAGTCACCAACCTCTTTTCAAAGTTCTCCAGTGATGAGGAACACAGCACCATGAAACAACTCATTTGATTTGTTTAACAATTCTTAACATCAGAAAGCTCTCTAATATTTAACCTGAATTTATTTCCCTTTAGTTCCAACATATTTCTCTCAATCATTTACAGACTAAACATATCTAAAATTCCTCAAGTCACTCTTCATGCTACTTAGTTCCAGACTCCTTAGTAGACATCCTTACAGTCACCTTCCCTTTGTCAACCAAAGACTAGCAGATCCCTTTTTTTCTTCTTTTACCTTCTGATAAATGAAATTGTCAGTAAGGGAAGACAGGAATTGTTGAACCTCTGTGTCTTCACAGAGTTAGATTTACAGCTGGAAATTGGACACCTTTCATTGTTGTGATCATATGCCTTCTTTGAAAGTTGGATCATCTAATAGAGAAAGGCCTCATCCATATCTTCTGCTTGTCCAAGCAATCTATAATAAACTCACCCCAAAAATTCATTTTTGTTACTTTAGGTCGGAGTATCTAGATGGAGACTGATATAAATGAGTTTTATTCTGTTTGTCAATTTGATCAAACCTTTTGGGAAAACTGAATCAATTTGACTCACAGCTTCAGTTTGATAATTCAATATGACATTCTGCTTTGCTTCAGAAATAACATTTAATTCAGACATTAAATTAAAGCATTTTCAAATTGAATCAGAATTTTCCATAGCCTTATAAATATTTCCTGGCTCCTAAAAATATTTTTGGATGCTATGGAGAAATTTTTATTTTTAAAAGTGGATTGTTGATTATAAAACAACATATAAATATAAAAGATATATTCTTGCAATACTGAGGACCAATTGTTTATCTATTGTGTACAAAACAATATTTTGATAATTAAAAAAAGGATTCATTCCCTGATAATATATTACTAATGGGAGACACAAAGTTTCAGAGCAATCATGAGTTGAATCTGGGATATGTGTGATAAAATTTCTCTTTGAATTGATATTGCTTTTAGGAATCTTTTCATAAAGCTTAAACATTCATAAATTCAATACATTCATTATATAATCTTACTGTATTAGAATTGATCATTTTTAATTTCTTGTTTTTGGGCACTGCCATGAATTGAAATGAGAAAGATGTTTTCCAATTCCTATGCAACACTTGTTCATAAGAACCTGCAATAAGTTTCATTTGCATATTGAAGACAAACATGTGGAGTAGGTCATTGTCACACAAATATTAAATATCCTATATTTTATACTATTACATATAAATTATCCTATTTGGATATTTATGGTTTGCATTGCTGAGTATTTTTTGTATAAATGATAATCTTGCTACTTTAATCATTATGCTATATACTTGCCAGATCTTTTTTGAATAATATTGTAATATACATTTAAAACATTATTATTTCTGTTGTGTTTTTAAATCATAAGATAATTTTAACACAACAGACAAAAGTAGATGTATATTTCCATTAGTTTACATAGTAAGCTTGACTCCTCAATTCAAAGACTCATGCAGGTAGTTTATCTGGCAATAATAAGAAAGCCTTGGCATTTTTTTCAAGATGTATAGTCTACAATTCAGCCTATAGCCTTGAGATTTCCTAGTAGTCTCCTATCCAAGTACCTAAATGCAATTATGGGAGAAGAGACTGTCAAAAATGTACCTATAAAACTAATATAAAACTATATGGCTATTTATTGGAATGAAATAATTGGCTATTTTAAATTCAGCACTAATAATTCTGAAAGATTACAGTATTGCTATATAGAAATCAAACTTGAGCTGAATATTAACTGAAAAGAGGATTAATTATATTTTGGAAATTTTATGAATGCCAATTGTTACAGAAAATTAATTAATACATTTTTACAATACAAAAAGAATAGAAATATTAGATTTCATCAGTTTTATTTAACTTCTTTCCTATTAAATGGTCTGCAATTCATGACAGGAGCAGGACATTGCATGAAGACAACTGATACTTCTGAGTGTAAAAACAAGTGTACGAATGCAGATAACAAAAATCAACATGGACAGTATGGAGAAAAAATGCTTAACAAGGTATTTTTATAAACCTGGCAAAACAGTAACAACAAAAAATAGAAAGAAGCATACCTTGTCCTTGAGGAATTCCATAAAACTCAGCAGCTATTCTTGCTGCCTCTTTACGATTCCCCTTTACAATATAGAAATGACTGAGTATTGCAAGGCTGATTTTTACAAATAGTTTAAAGCAGAAAAGCGAAAGTATTGTAAAGTAGACATTGGATAATTGTTGGGCAAAAGGCCGATTTTCCTCTACAACAGTCATTGCTGCACAAGAGTCTTTGTCAGTGTTTAGAAACAGCTCTGAAATATGTTGCTAAGATCATATGGCTCCAGCCAGACACTCCGAGGGAACAGCTGGTCCTGAGGAAAGAAAATATCAGCTGGTCATGATGTGTGCAGCTCAAAATATGAGGATTATTTATACTGTAAATAGCACTGAGTTCACTAGCACTCCCATTAGGTTGATGGTATTTAACTGAAGAATACATACAGCTTCAAGAAGTCAATTATAAAGTGCCAGTTTAAAAGGATCGATAAGTGCAAGTACATCAGGTTTTGTGCTGTTGAAGAAAAGATCTCAAATGGTATTATTATTTACATTATATTAGATAACATCAGAAGAAAGAGCAGCCAAAATGTACCTTTCTCAGTCATAGTTCAGCTAGCATTCAATTTTCTTTCTCAAGATATTCTAGCTCCTGTTGTTCTTTTTAAGTATCCTGTATCCATGAAACTTATGCTTCATCGATCAGCTATAGCCAGTTGAATAGCATAAAGCATATTAAAATGCCCATTATGTGCTGTCACTGTATTGTTGCTTTTTATCTTTGGCCAAGACAAGAATGTTCTCAATTGGATTTACCCATACAGATACAAGTACACCGACTCTGATGCAGGATTGTCTATTCTTATATTGCTGTGCATAGTCATGGTTTTTCTCCATCATCTTAATTTTACTCACCAGAATTTTGGACAGGATTCCTTAATATACTCAAAAGATGGTATGGCTATTGATGCTAAATGGATCTTTTTGGCTGAATTCTACTGCTTATTTTAGTATAACTTTTTAAATGTGTATGGAACTCTTCAAAATGAAATTTTCCTTGCAACTTAAGCTGCTGAACTTTAACAAAAGTTAAAGAACACAGTAAAATATTAGGGAAAAATTAAATAAAAGAAGACCAAAGTAATGACAAAAGGTGTGGTTACCAGCCTAAGAACTAACAACAAAGCTATTGTGGTGGATATCTTCTGCCTTTGGGACTTACTATCAACATATCATGAATAGCCAAGAAAACAAATTAATGGATCATAGAATAAATCAATCCAAAATTCTCACTCAGTACAAATCAGGAGGTCCAGTTATCATATTCTGAACAAATTGTGCAAAAGCCTAGCTCTTTTGAAAAGTGTAACACTTTGGGAAAGGTAGAAAGAGAAAGAGGACAATCAGAAGCAAAATAGATGCCCTTAATTATAGCCGTGATAGGAACACTGACGGACACGGTTCGAAACAGATGTCTTGAAGAATATGACTCTATATGGTTGCCAAGAGTTAACATTAATTTAATGACATGTAATTAAAATCAATTCATTTGCTGACAGAAGGAAAGTCTGATTGTCAAACAGCATGAGACAGAAAACAATATGCTTTAATCAATGAGAATCACTAGAGGAATTAATTTAGACTATAATTACAAAATTTTAATGGGTTAAAATGTACATTTTGAAATGTACATTCAGAAGGTTAGTATTTTTTATAATTGATTGTACTTAGGTATTATTTTAATTATATATTTTAATATTGTGCATTAGTTTTACTTTAAGGAGACTTTAAAGTGAGAAAAGCACTTGTGGAAGGATTGTTTCTATTCCAACTTCAACATAAATTTTCTCTAGTAATGTTCCATGAACTGTAAGCAAAGGAATTCACCATTAGTACATTTGGAAAGCAGAGAAAAGAGAATATACTGCATTTGCATAATATACAGCTTTCTTCAGGCATGAAATTTCTCTTAATAAGTGAAATCCACTTCAGTAGTTAAAGGGTAAATCATAGTTCCAATGCCTTTATGATTTCATTCCCCTTTATCCCAAGCTGTCCTTTATTTGACATCTGTTTGCATAATTCTGTCTTGGAGCAATAGTTGCCAAGCATTCCAGCAATATCAGATCAAAAGGACAGGTGATATAGCATATTACCTTTTGTTGTGTCTTTTCTGGGAGGACAGAACATGTAGTCTCTCAGCCTCTATGGTCTGTGACCAATAGGTGACAAGAAAATGTACAAAAGTATAACAATTTAAAAGTTCTATACTATGGATTCATAGGATGTACATATAACATCAAATATTAACTGCCAAGAATACTTAACACTTGTTGTTTTCTATAAAGCTTCACTCTTTGCAGAAAGCATGGGATTTCCAAGTGAAGATTTAACTACACGGAATTCTGTTTCAACGTATGTAAAGTGGCTTAATCAAAACTGCCAGCCAAACTTCTGGAAGGTAAAATATTTAAAAATAAACCTTAGTGACTGTTATTTATCATTAAAAAATCTGCATATTTTATATCTTATTATCATCACTGGGAGACAAGATGACTGACTGCAATCTATACAGATAATCTTCAACTTACAACAGTTTGTTTAGTGACCATTTTTTCAACAATTTTTAACATTTATGACTATTCAGCATTCCCATGGTCATGTGATCAAATTCAGACACTTGGCAACTGACTCTTATTTATGACTGTTGCAGTGTCCCAGGGTCATGTGATCACCTTTTGCAACTTTCTGACAAGCAAAGTTAATGGGGAAGCCAGATTCACTTAAGAACCATGTTACTAACTTAATTGTAGTGATTCACTAACAAGAAAGATCATTAATGGAGCAAAACTCACTTAACAAATGTCTTGCTTGCAACATAAATGTTGGGCTTAATTGTAATCACACATTGAGAACTACCTATATGTGGTGAAAAAAGGAGGCTTTTAATGAGATGAAGGTCACAGAAAAAATAAATTTAGGCTCTTAGCTACCCTTTTTTTAAAAAAAAAGCATGACACCAACTTTATTTTGGACTTTTCTGCAAATTTCAGGGCGGGAAAGAAGCAGCTGAAACATGGAAAATAAGTTAAGGACAACAAAAGCAAAATTGTCTCAAGCTAAGACTGTAGTAGAAAGCAGGACAATTAATATTCACCAGAATGAAGAGGAAATTGCTCCAAGAAAAAAACTAACTGAAATACCAGGGAGAATTAACCATTTCTTCTGAAACTCTATGGATATGTTTTCTCTAAAAATATTCTAATGTTCATCCCTCTCAACAAACTTCGGAAAAATCTTCTTGAAAGATTGGACCTAATTATTCCTTCCAGATACAGAAAAGCCACTATACACTGTGTTCTTGGACACTCCGCTGCTGGTCAAGGACGAACACTTTTTTTCTTGCAGTACATCACAAACATAATTTGTTGCAGAATCACACACACAGATATGTTGTGACTATAGTCCTAAGAATGTACAAGTCAGCTGTCATCAATATCTTATGTCTATTGTTCCACTCAGTTTCCATCTGTTACTGGCTGAGTAGCAAGGAAATTGTTCGCTGGTGTATCATGCCACATGGAATTTTGTGAGAGCTCTTTCTCCCCCCCCCCCCCAGCATTAGGTTCCTCTCTATATTTGAAAAACTAGCTGTACCCAGCCATGCGTTGCTGTGGCTCTCGTTCACTCAGCCAACAGATGGCGCTGTTTTTCAAAAAAAGCATGTTTTTACCTGTCACAGGTGTGACATCTATATAATAGTGTTGTTCGTCCATCGATTTCGATGAAGACCTTGACATCTTGTGGATTGTGGGCCATCAACGGTGTGTCCGTAGATGGCTGATTAGACCGATGTTAGCACGGAATGTTCTGCCACATACTGAACAGAGAAATGTGGACACTATTGCTTCAGCATTTGCAGCTCTGGCTTTACGGAGTGCTCGCTTCTCTTGTGCCAAGATTGTCCTCCTGTGTTCA